TTGTCTGGTTTATGAGCTCATTGCTGTCCCTAATTTAAGATCTTCTTTTTAATAAATTTTTGAAAATGTTAAAAAAGAGAGAGAGAGAAAGGGGGCCCGGCAAGGATGTTTGCCCCGGGGCCCCGAGCTGGCCCTCGACGTTCCTGATAAGTAGAAATATCTATCTGCTAAATATTATACAACTCTCCTGCACATATTGGTAACTGAGTAGGGTCGAAAAGAAAGAATAATTATGAAAAATAATGTGGCATGCCATACGTCGATGAGATTGTTAAAGAAAAATATACGCAATTCTTGTTAATTTTCTTCTGTTGATAATAACTTTCTTACCTTTGTCATCTGTCGAGCGACACCGCCGAAACACTTGCCCTCTGTGGCCTTATCAGAGGGACACCTGCCCCCGTACTTGTTCAGCTGTTCGAACCTAGCGTGAACATCATTCGTGTGTAGGATAGTAAGATTGAAAGTTGCCCTTGAGGAGCCTATAAGAAAGGACACGAAGCACAAAAGTGCGCCCACACACTTTTCTTTCATTGTTCAAGGTTTTAAATCAAGTGTTTTTTTAAAAAAAACACACACACTCGACTTTAACTTGGATAACCTAAACCCGTCTTATGCCGCTGCTCGTGTACAGCACATGTTTATCTCTCTGTCAGCGCGTGAAGTTGTGATTTCTTTCTGACAGCATGCTTATGCTCAGCCTCTTGGCGTGCGTGCTGCGAGTGTCAAGTCAGTACCATAGCAACGAAAAACTCAGGGTGCAGTTCTCTTGGAAAGGTGTCTTTGTAGGCGTCCGTAGCAACGAGGCTGATGAAGGCTAAACAGCTGAACCCAGCGAAGTATCCATTCACGTTGTGATGGAAAGCGTTATTAGAATATGAGTTAATGTCACACGGAAACAATACTGTCTACTCGCTGTAATATATCGAATCTGTCATCAATACTGTCTACTCGCTGTAATATATCGAATCTGTCATCAATACTGTCCACTCGCTGTAATATACCGAATCTGTCATCAATACTGTCTACTCGCTGTAATATATCGAATCTGTCATCAATACTGTCTACTCGCTGTAATATATCGAATCTGTCATCAATACTGTCTACTCGCTGTAATATATCGAATCTGTCATCATTTTTCAAAATTAAGTAGAATTTCATTCTCTTGGTAAAAAAAGAAAAAAAAATACCATGAAATAGCAGCATGTTATTTATTCTGTTTTCTGGAACTAAGAACTTGGTTCTAAGTAAACCCCCAACAGTTATTTCATACTTATAAACACTAGTATCCAATAAATGTACTTTATCTGTGACATCATGGGCTACGTATATTTTTCCATAAACAATTGTAAAATTGATAATGTTTTAGGAGTTACTTAAAACTAACAAATACAATTCTTCATAATTTTTTGTACACTTGAGAGTTATTAGAAAAGTATAAATAGAGAAGAAGTTTGTTATTAAGTTATTGATAATTATTCTGACGACCAGCCGTGACCCATAATTAGCTTGCCGGGAAACTTCAAGGTTTGAACCGCGATATGTTGTTGTTGAACATGCATCACACTTTCAGCTGTGAGAGATTTATACTCGTTAAGTGCAGCCACATAGGCGGCGGGCGCTGGAGATGGAGCACCCTCTTTCTGTCCTGGCCCGCTTAGTTCACTTGTTACATGAGGTTCCGTTCAGGTTTTAGATACCAACCACCCTGAATTTATCTGAACTATCCTACTTTTCTCTACTATTAGTCATGATGTAAGTCTTCGCAAACTAAGGCTTGAAACTATGGTGTTTGAAACAGTTAAATGCAATTAAATTAAATCTAAAATAAGACCGCTTTTCACTGCCAAAGTTCAGTTATTGAAATATGCTGATTCCTACTGACCTTACACATTATTGTATTAAAATTTGGGGATATTTTAGGTTATCTTGTGGAGCCAAATTTTTAACATTACTTATCTATCTAAACCATTATTTCACAAAGGTCTGTTTGTCTCCGCTTATAACTGGCGAACCGCTGGACCGATTTTTACTAAACCTGGCGTGTAACTTTAGCCCCCCCCCCCCGAGAAGTGACACAAGGGAGGGTCGACGTTCGAATCTGACACCCTATTCCCCTTCTCCATATTTCCGTCTACCTCATTTGTTAAACGGATACGTCAGCTTGTAGTGGTTATTTGAAAGGCTCCTAATAATTTGGTAATTTAAGTAATTAAAAACTGCCTCATTAGTAATTGCTAGCTGGTTAAACCCTTAGCTCTAATTAATGGTAGAGCATTTGAATGGCGTGCAACAAATCCCAAGTTCGATCCTGAATTTACGAAATTATCATATTAATAGTTTGTTGTGGGGGTTTAGTAAAAAGGTGTGTTATTCATTTGTGCTGATATTTTTTACAGTGTCAATAATATGTGACTTGCAGAACGATTCCATTCCCTTCCGTTCCAACTTGTGACCGTTGAATACTCTTCAGCCATCCAGTGAACTTAAAAGGATTATACATCCTCACTTAAAAGCTTTTCTGCCACTTCTTATCTGACTTGCTGCACATGAAATATTGTAAATGTCACTGAAGGACATGTACTTGATGTTTTCATTTCAACAAACGCCCTCGAAAAAAAAAAGACATCAACAAGAAAAAAAAACAAGAAGAAGAAAACGATGTCACAAGACTTTTAATCCTATACTTCTATATTTTAGGACAAGTAAAAAAAACAAACAAACAAACACGTATCTGTGAAATGAAGTTTCCTAGACCATCGCACGTTCGTTACTTATTTATCCAGCAGGACAACTTTGACACAGTGAACACATGTGGAATTTCTTGACAAAAGACATGGTAAAAATAATTAATGAACCAGCGCTAATGACTAGCTGATAATTAAATATATAATTAATTCGACTATTACCAGAGAACAAAGTGCCCAGTCCTTTGCTTTCTTATTTATTTTGAATACAATGTTTTACGTTGACCATTAAATGAATACAATACTTTGGTTCGATGTAACATATTAGTTTACATTGTTATGTTATTTGGACATAAGACTAACTACATTGTTGTATAACTAGAATGTGACCCAGCGTACGTTATGTTATACTAGTTTTGTCTGGCCCGTCAAAAAAAAAAGGTCTACAATACTTATCATTTTTATTGGAGTCAAGATCGGAATTTTTAGCTTAATGTAGACATTATTTCCAGCTTTGTTTGCTTACATTTTTTTTAGAGTCCCTAGTTGTAGTCTTGAAAATATAATCTTTACATTTTCATTCAATTTGTTTCTGTACTTTTTGGACGATCCTATTTCCCCTTTTTATATTAAAATTTTTAATTATCTTGTTTCTTAAGTTTTTTATGTCCATTTATGGAGAATACATTTTAAGCTACATACGTGCATGTGCATTCAGTTGAATGTTACATGGGTTAATTGAACTAAAGGTTAACCCACGGCATTAACTAAGTTAAAGGGTTAACTCACAGTATTAACTAAGCTAGAGGATTAAGGCACAGTATTAATCGAGCTAAAGGGTTAAGGCGAGTATTAACTGAATTATAGGGTTAACCCACAGTATCAATTAAGCTAAAGGATTAAGGCACAGTATCAATTAAGCTAAAGGATTAAGGCACAGTATTAATTAAGCTAAGGAGTTAAGGCACAGTTTTAATTAAGCTAAGGAGTTAAGGCACAGTATTAACTGTTTGTTTTCTTCTATCGAACAGTCAACACAAAAATATTATATTTACAATAGAAGACCAAACTGTTAATATTTTACCTTTTTTAGATACCAAGATAATTAACTTAGGTAGAAGTTTTGAGACTAAGTGCTATCATAAACCAATGTTTACTGGGCAATATTTTCATTTTGATAGTTTTTAACTTTTGAATTGAAGAAGAACCTAATTTATAATTAAACTATAGAATAACTCATAGTATTTTCTGGGCTAAATGGTTAAGACACAGTGTTAATTGAGAAAAATGGTTAACCCACAGTATTAACTGAGCTAAAGAGTTAAGGCATTTATTTTGAAACATTTTCCCTATCACATCTGATTTATAGTGTTACATTTTCTAGTTTACTTCCTGAGCTCACAGGAAAGCCAACAGCACGTGACTTTTTCCTAATTATACACGCCCGCGCATGGTGGGTTTTCTGTCACAAGTATTTTATGATTAGTCTGGGACGTGACTGATAAGAAACTCCGTACAGTTGAGCGTATTATATTCAAGAGGCAATTATATAGCACATTCAATGAGGGGCAGAAGTATCTTGTTATTTACTTTGAGTTCTTTCTACTTAACGTTTCTACTAGAACTCATACTTAGCAGATTTTCAGCCGAATGTAAAGTACGATATTGTTACGTCTCCGATCGTTAGTTAATTTTACGTAAATTCGTTCCGACGAAACTTTAGCGACACAAGTCCTTTCTTAAATCAAACTTGCTTATTCTTTCTGAATATAACTTTGCGATACACTTAATTTCAACAGTCGCACTATAACAAACGCTATAATTCTCAACGAACTTCTCACGTGCTCAACAATATTCTCTCTGACTGCAGTTCAATTACTCATTGTTCCGTCACGTTGTGACCGTCTTATATATATACCAGACTACCCCAATCTTGTAGTCTCCCGACAATTCACGAAGGAACAGGATATTTCTAGAAGGAGGTGGCGTGATACTAGTCACGTGACCTCGCTGACGCAACAATATTTATTTGCTACTAAGGAAAATTTCAAAAGCTTAATTTCTGTTTGTTTCCATAACAACATTTTTGTGACGGATATAAAATAAGATTCTAACACGTTCTTAAACTTGTCGATTACCAAAGGTTTGACAACACTTTTATGACTGACTTAAAACAATATTCTAACACTTTCTTAAATTTGTCAGTTACAAATGGTCTCACAACATTTTTATGACTGACTTAAAACAGATTCTAACACGTTCTAAACTTGTCGATTACGAATGGTCTCACAACATTTTTATGACTCACTTAAAACAGATTCTAACACGTTCTAAACTTTGTTGATTACGAATGGTCTCACAATATTTTTATGACTACTTAAAACAAGATTCTAACACGTTCTAAACTTGTCGATTAAGAATGGTCTCACAACACTTTTATGACTGACCTAAAACAAGATTCTAACACGTTCTAAACTTGTCGATTACGAATGGTTTCACAAGACTTTTATGACTGATTTAAAACAGATTCTAACACGTTCTAAACTTGTCGATTACGAATGGTTTCACAAGACTTTTATGACTGATTTAAAACAGATTCTAACACGTTCTAAACTTGTCGATTACGAATGGTTGCACAAGACTTTTATGACTGATTTAAAACAGATTCTAACACGTTCTTAAACTTGTCAGTTACGAATGGTCTCACAACATTTTTTGTGACGGATATTAAACAAGGTTCTAAGATACTAAACGGATTCAATTATTCAACAACGACGTTTAGGTAATCTTTAATTACGCTGAACTCGAAGACTTATTTAATTCGAGAGCTCAAGAACCAATATCACGTCGAGACAAACTTGAATTACCAGTTTAGTGAAATAAAGGAGGGAAAAAAAGATAAACATGAGGGTTGCACTGAAATAACCTTGAAAAATACTAAGGAAAAAATTGTTTAGTTTAGAAATAACAATAAAGTAACAATAAATGCAGTATTTAGATAACTTTGAAAACATGAAAGTAACCAACTCAAACC